GAGAGGGGAGGGGGTTCTGTTTGTTAAGGGAGTGATGGTGGTGGATGTTGTTAGTGTAATTTTTTTTTCAACCACGTGTGTGTCATGAGAGTGGTGTTGGGGGTGAGCAAGGGATAGAGTGTGTGTGGGTGGCAGGGCAGGCAGGCTGGAACAGGGAGTGCAGGAATGGGTCATCCAGGGCCTCCCACAGGAGGGTGCCCCCCAGACCCAGGAGGCACCAGCCACCAAGCTGAGGTTTGTGTGGGAGGGCCCCCAGTGCACTCCCTGGCTTCTGGTCCACTTCTGGGTCTATTGCCAAGCGTGCTGGGGATCCCGCATACTCCTCTGGGACACTCCATCTGCCCCACCATCGCAGCATTCACAAGCTGCCTGGCACCTTGAGATATGAAGAAACAACATTTAAAGCTGTGCCTGTGTCCAAATTGACAAATCATTCTGAATCTTTCTGAATTGATTCGGAGGGTTCCGATTAGATTTGAAGAGATTAAAGGGTCTCCTGATTCAATTTGAATTTGGAGATTTGGCCATTGAATCAGGCCGAATCTCCACCAAATCGAATCAGCAACCAAAGCTTCACACAGACCTAGTATACACCTGCCAAAAATCACTTACAGTGCATTACCTTAATGCACAGTAAATTTAGTCACACTTAAATGCATGTGTAGACATGCCCTAAGTGCAAATGAAATAAGTTACACTTAAGGATACCCACAGGGTATGTTATTGATGTCTTCTCAGTGAAAGACAACTTTCAAGGCCCAAACATTTGCTACAATTTAACAGAAGTATGACAATGTTTTTAGGTGCTAATTTCCATTACAACTTACTTAAATTCCATTATGCTTAGCATATTAAAAATTACTTCCAGAACAAAGAAAGGATGAGGTTGAGACTGACGTTAGTTCTAGGGCTGGTCACAGGCAAGGAGAAGGAGCTTTGGGGAAATGTACAGATATCTTTTCTAAGTATATTTTTTCCCTTTATTCCTCTAGACTTTACTTATTGCACATGCATGAAAATAAAGCAGGTAAGGCAGAATTTCATATTACTTTACATGCCCAAACAGCACTTAATGCCATTTATAGCTTTTATACATCGTTTGTGAAGGACTCCTCATACATTGTATGTCTACACAGCTATTGAGTAGGCTAAGCTCTGGCCTTGCAGACATGTGCTTCCATATGCACATACGTCCTGAAATTCTGGCCTGACAAAAATCTTGGAAGAGGAGAGCCCTACCCCATTTTAGTTCAATAATTAGGATATGCTTCCAGGAAGCAGAGGTTAAGAGGTTTATAAGCTCCAACACTTTTTTTTATTTTTTTTTTGCAGTGGGGAGGGGAGGTCAGGAAGGGGGCATGCCTGTTTCTTACTTTCCACTGCTTTTAATGAGGTTGGGATTAGGAAACATGGCCAAGGACATAAATTATAGATAAACCAATATAAGTGATAGTTTCATAGTTTCTAGGGTCAGAAGGGACCTGAACAGATGATCAAGTCTGACCCCCTGCCCTGGGCAGGAATGAGTTCTGGGATCATAATACCCCATCCAGATATCTATCCAACCTCCTCTTGAAGACCCCCAAGGTAGGGGAGAGCACCACCTCCCTTGGGAGCCCATTCCAGAGCCTGGAAGCCCTAACCATAATGTAATGCCTCCTGATATCAAGCCTGATCCTACTCTCAACCAATTTGTGGCCAGTATTCCTTGTTATCCCATATGGTGCCCAGGGGAACAGATCCTCACCTATTTTCCGCTGGTCCCCCCTGGTGAGTTTATAGATGGCCACCAGATCCCCTCTCAGTCTTCTTTTGTGAAGGCTAAATAGATTCAGGCCCTTTAGTCTATCTTCATAGGGCCTGGCCTTCTGACCCCTGACTATGTGAGTGGCCCTCCTCTAGCCCCTCTCAAGGTTAGCCACATCCCTCTTGAAGTGCGGTGCCCAGGATTGGATGCAGTACTCCAACTGCAGCCTTACCAGAGCTGCATAGAGGGGAAGGATCACCTCCCTGGACCTGCTTGCGATGCATCTGTAGATGCATGACAAGGCGCGCTTAGTCTTACTGGCCACTTCCTTACATTGGTGGCTTATGTCCATCCTGGAGTCAACAATGACTCCAAGATCCCTTTCAGCCACTGTGTTGTTGAGAAGGGTGTTCCCCAGCCTATAAGTGTGTTGCAGGTTCCTTCTCCCTAGATGCAGTACCTTGCACATGTCTGCATTGAATTCCATTCTGTTCTCATCTGCCCACCTCTGTAACCTGTCCAGATCAAGTTGGGTTCTGTCCCTCCCCTCCAGTGTGCGCACTTCTCCCCAAATCTTTGTGTCATCAGCAAATTTGGACTGCATGCTTTCCACGCCCACCTCCAAGTCGCTGATAAAGATGTTGAATAATACAGGCCTGAGGACCAAGCCCTGGGGAACTCCATTGCGTACATCCCTCCAGGTCAAAAACAACCTGTCCACCACCACTCTCTGGTTGTGACCTTCGAGCCAATTTGCCACCCATCTGACTATGTAGGTATCAATGCTGCAGTCAACTAGTTTTTGGGTTTTTTTATATATGAATGGGGTGAGAAACAGTGTCAAAGGCCTTCTTGAAGTCCAGATAGATGACATCCACCTCACCTTGGTGACCTGGTCATAAAACAAAACAAGGATAGTCAGGCAGGATCTGCCTACAATGAACCTGTGATCAGAAACCAGTTCAAATTTGTAACACAACAAAAGTTCAGTGCTCATAAATTGCTTTTGAAATGACCAAAACCTGTTTAAGGTAAACCTGGATGGATGTAGTATACGACTTTATTGATTTAGGTTAAATTGGTTTATTGAACTTCTGTTCCACATTCTCTCCAGATTCAAGTCCTCGCAGTCCCCCAACATCCCAGAATGCTTTCCACCTCCCACACAAACCCCTCCTCTCAGGGTGAGCAAGCTAGTCTTGTCCCAAGCGATCTACTCCAGTGAAGCAGGGTGGAATGCTCTAGCACCCCCCAACTTCTGACCTGGGTCACTGCGGGCATGTGGCTGCATTTCCAAAACCAAAAGTGAACGTCTGTTCACTTGCTTATCAGTTTAATCTACTCAGCTTAGACCAACATGAACAGATTGAATTGATTCAGCCTTGGGCTTTCTGACTCTCTGTATTTAGCCTGAGTTTCCATATTCAAAGTTGAATCTGAGCTAACTTAAATTATGGAATCTTAAAAATAATGTATTTGGAGTTTCTGTAGACATTCTTCAAACTATCATTATGGAAATACTGAGGGGGCTTCAACACATTTAGCAGTTTGTATGGGAAAAGCCTGGTTTTTTTATCTATATTCTTATGTCAGAGAGTGCATTTCAGGGTGCACAATCATTCTTTATTATTCATGTTTTGTTTTGTTTTTCTTACTCTCCATCTTCCTGGCTGAACTCCAGAATCACCAATTATTTCACCATTTATTCCACATAATTTCCTACCATCTCAAATAGCACCTTATTCAGAAATTTATCAGACTATTTTAGCAATAAAAATGTGCTATTCCACAGACTTTCCCTCCTCGGTATCCCTCCTCTACTCCCTATTATGTGGTACTTTCCTTTCTTCCTATTCTTCTGTTGTTTATCTGCCTCTTTGTTCCTTTTGCTGTTCTACTCCATTGTGCTCTATGCTATGTGTGGGCAACAAAGTAAAATGACAAGATTTCTGATCTCCAAAGAGCCACTTTCACTTTGCTACCCACACACAGAATAGAGCAATCCAGACTGGCACAACAACAACAAAAAAGACATCCTACCTCTATACCATATTATTACATTCTGACCCTCTTTGAACTCTGTCTGTGGGAGGTTGCCTCCAGCTACCGTAAGGATAAGATGTCAATAAACTAGGGGACAGCTTTAAACATCATAAACTGGAGGATGGACTCTTCCCTAGAAGATAGATGTCACTGAGCTCAGCTAGGAACTGCCATGTATTTGCCCCTATTTCCCACAGTGTTGATGGAAAGATAAAGATAAATGGATAGAAAAAGGCCTAGGTCTCAGAGGTGGTGAAGTGCCTACAGTGCCCATTAATCATCTTTTTTTCTTGCTGATGTCAGGATTTCAGGATAGTCAGTCAGGGAAGAAGATAGAAGGAGTTTAAATCCCGAAGAGCTGGTTTCCAGCACACAGCCCCAAAGCAAAAGCAATGTATTTAAGAAAGATATTTAAACCCATTTAAAATGTACCACAATATATAAGTAGGATCCCTTAAAAATATAAGCATTAGGTCCTGTCCCAGTTCTGGCAGCTACCATCTTCTGGACAAGTACAACCTACATTACTTTCATTACTGTAGAAATATCAGCACATCATTATTGCCTCCTCCCCCAAACATTACTGCTATGTAATCAGCACGTAAGTGCAATGCATTATCATTTTAATCAAGGTAGAGTGAGCTATCCCTTTGTCTCACTTTCTGCCTCTGATTACTTTTCCTTACAAATTTTGGCAAATACATATATTTCAACATGCTTCTCTGCAAATCCTTTCCAAAATGTCCTTCTATTCTTTTTAACCGGAACAAGACTGATATGTAGGGAGGGAAACTGTGGCACCATCTTATCTGCCAACAATTCAAATAGGAGCCAAAAGGCATCTTGCATTAACATTTAAAGGGGAGATACAGTCTATTTATAACTAGTTTAGATGATAGAAGTGATACTTTATTTTAGCTCATATAGATGGGGCCCATATTTCTTAATGATCCAGTGTTGTTTTCTAGTACGATAGAGATAAGAAAAACTTGTACTGTAATCTCAACCCCCTGTCTTTCTCTGATGCACTTGTTATATACTTGTTATGCAAGTGTGGCGGACATGCACACAGGGTGTGGAGAATAGCACAGCTGATTGGTGGAATGTTTTCACCAATCAGGTAACACCTGGGATGGGGTTGCCTTCCCCCTACCCAAAAGGGGAGGAGGGACAAAGAGCCCTCAGACCTGATTGAAGACTGTGCCTGCAGGTCCATCAGACTTTGGGGAACAGAGCCCCTGGAGAGAATAAAAGGAGCAGCATGCCCTGCATGAAGCAGACGCATTGAGGGACAGAGTGAAGAGCAGGCAGTGAAGAGCTGGGGAAGATCTACCAGTGGACAGAAGCTGTAGCCCAGAAGAGCCCCTGAAGACTCCCTCGGTGGGACTGGAGTGGCAAGCGGCTTCGGCCACAGCCCACCCCCAGCCAGTGCACAGCACAGTGCATGAGACAGACCCTGGGACCTGTGGGAGGCTGTTTACCTGTATAGGGACCCATGCCCTTTGAGGTGGTGTGACCCTTGGGGCCTCTGATTATACAGCGTAATGGTATTTGGTGATTTAGATATTGTATATATTTACCATTACTCTCCTGTAAGTCTATATATTGTTACCTGTATACTAATAAAACTGTAAATAGTTAAGCTGTTCAGTCCTGGCCTGACTCTATAGAAAATAGATGGCGCTGGCCTGCATAGCAAACCCCTTTCTCAGCACTCCTGCCTGGTCATCTATCCCCTCCAACTGAAGTGGAGGGCACATACTTGAGTGCACCTGAGTTACACAAGGACCACTTTTTCTCCATGGCTAACATGAAATGGATATTGGGAAAGGCTTGCTGTGGGCTCTGGATATTGTGTGTGTGTTCAGGTTTTTTCAGTCATGTTTATGGTATGCTTGTGTGTTTCATAGGTCTAAATTTTGTGTTAACATATATTTTAAAAAGAGTCCAGAGCTCTGCGATGGGATATACTGTGCCTATAAGATCAGTGAAAGCAATCTCATGGTTGAGGCTACCTAGTTCCAATAGTTCTTCAGTTGATACCACAGAGATGAATGAGGAATAAACTGAGAAAAGGGAATGGTCCCCATGTAATAGCTAATGCCTGGAAATTCTACAGAGTTACTATATTCATTAGTGATCAGGACAAGGATCTTGTAGTATAGGGCAGGGCAAATTATTGGAAAGCAGGCGGTATATAAACTGTCTCTTCCCTCGGGGGGGGGGGGGGGGGCGGCAGCTATTTGTCAGAAAAGGACAAACTGCTAATTTCTCCTTGGCCATGGAGAATGAGACTAAATTATTTTGACTCTTTCTCCAAACTGTAGAAGAAAAATTGAGAAAGCGTATGTTTTCCTGGACAATCTAGATGAAGGTGGGCAAAAATAATTTAAGAGAGCAGCTGAGAGAGTCATACCAAGATTATCAGATGTATGTTCTTGTATTACACTCTGTATTTTTATTTTAAATAAACTCTATATGTCAAATATTTACAAGCCAAGTCATTTATGAAAATGGGGAAGGAAAGGGTTCAAGGAGTAAAAAACTAAAATCATAATGGTTGAGATTTTCAAAACAGCCTAGGGAACACAGGTATATCTTATTAGAGGACTATGAATAATAGCAATAAAGAAGTAGTCATCTATGATTGGAGTTTTTATCAGGGAGTGAAAAAACAAAAAACCATAACAGTTGAGATTTTCTGAGCAGTCCTAGGGATAGAGGTATATCTTCCAAAAAAAATATTGATGATAACAAAAAATAGAATGCTATTTTTTCGAGAAATAAAAAAATTAAGCATTTTCGCTATTTTTTCTTAGTCAAGATCATACCCCAGTAGAGATATCGTCTCATGGAGGCCCCATTATTATCCACCCTCTCAGTTGTCAATTTATAACATATCTGTGGCAATTACAGCATTTACTTTCAAAGAATAAAATGTTAATGAAGAATATAGTACAGTGGTGCTGATTTTGCTTAAATATCTAGAAGTATTTGTTTTACAGCCCACCTTGAAGTGATCTGCAAGTATTACAAAAATAATTTAACATAAAAATGCTGTTCTCTCATGAATGCAGCTTTCTCTGGGGGTGTTCTTCCACTCATTCAGCAGTTCAGGTAGTGGGAATAATACTCCAATGAATAACACTGCTGCCCATCTCTTTAACTTCTACAATGCCTTTTTGAACAATGCCCTTCTCTGCCTCTTGGTAACAGCCCTGCAGCTTACCTCCTCCAAAATAAAGGAAGTCTGTACAAATGGGCATGTGTTTTATAAACTCGACTCTGTTGCCCCTGTTTCCTATCCTGCCTACCAGTCTTTCTTTGCCATGGGCCTTCTTAACTCCAGGATTAGTATGGATCCTATGCAAAGTGGAAATAAAATTGAAATCATCTTATTACCTCAACACTCACCCCAGACTAAGAAGAAAATATGGAAATGGTCCTCCAAAAGTAAGGAAAAAGCAACATTTTATCATTGATATCATGGGGCCCAAACTGATGGAATGATTGTTTTATCTATGTCCAAGGTTCCCTGGCATCTGCACCTGATGTGCCATAGCCAAACCAAAAACTGATTATTATCAACCTAAGAATACTGGATAAACCTCCAAATTAGGAAAAGGAAGACAAGGTTCGGGGTTTTAGCTGGGGTGTACCAATGTTCCTGCTGCAACTGGAAGCCAGAGGTTCTTTGCTAGAGGGTCTTGTCCCTCCACTCAGGGTCATAGTGATGCCATGTTTGGGGTCAAGAAGGAATTTTACCACATGGTCAGATGTGTACAGACTGTGTAGGTTTTTGTCTTCTTCTGTAGCAGTGTGGGCAAGGGAGTGGCCCTCTTCCTTGCATCTCTGGAGCGTGTTTAACAACTCTTGCAGCAGCAGACACTTGTTGCCATTGTTCCCTTACTTTATCTGTGCCATATTAGGTTTGTGTAGGGTTATCTGTGTAGTTTTATTAATTGTTTAGACAAGGTTTTGTACTAGATAGTTTGGATAGGGATGGTCTTCCTTGAGGCAGAGAGTTAGATTAGATGAACTCCAGAAGTCCTTTCCAGGTCCAGCCCTACTTTTCTATGATTCTGTTATTCTAAGAGATTAATATTTGAAGAACTCATGTCTATATCCTAGGAAAGAGATAAGAAAACAAAGAAGGAGAAAGAAAGTTTCCTTCTGGATAAAGAAAAGGATACTGAATTGTTAAAAGGCAGGTTAGAGAAAAAGAGCACCAGAAACAGATGCCGCTGTTGACAAAAAAGAAGCACAATCCTGCTAGAAAACATTTTTTATATAAAGCTCCTTTCTAGTACCACATCCTGTAGCCCAGGAAGATTAATTCTTACTAGCAGCTGTAATGTACTTCCCAAAACCACTGACACTGGCATTTTTTCCTCATTCCACACCTAAGACATGAAAATTGTGAATACCAGACTCTACCTTCAGTTTCTGCGTCTACAGGGCATAAGTTTTTGCCTCCACATTCAACATCCTGAGTTTAAGATAACAAGCAAGTACTAAGTACTTGCATATGTATGTAACCAAAACAGCATTCTCATTTTATCCACATGCTTTACAATTAATCCTTAATGTTTGTGCTTTGTTATGTTGTGATTTATATTCCACTGGCTTTAAGTTTGCACTGTTCTGTTCAGTAAAGGCTTTTATTATTTCTGCTATTTGGCACTCAATAAAGGTTATTATTGACAAACGATCAATAGTTTCATAAAATTGCATATCCACCATAAGTCCAAAAGAAATGCCCTTTCATAAAATCATTGCATAAAACATTAAAAGACATAAACTTATGCTTTATAAGATCCTTACACTCAGGCTAATAAAATCATTACACAATGCATAATCAAATTTTATTTTGACATTTTAGCTTTTATCCTCTAAAGAAAAGCATGAGGTTTCCTTGATTCTAGAGCTCTGTATATTTGCTGCAGTTTGCAAAGGCAGTCTTGTTGGCTGTTCATAACCTTCCAGAAGCCTGTGAATGTCTGCCTCTTGCCTATAATTGAAGATTTTTCCCTTGCCACCACAGATGCTGTACAAAATACAGCAAAGAGTTATCTCATGAGGCTGTTACTGTTTAAATCCATCCATACCCTCCTGCTAACAATAATTTCTTGATAACAGCACACATCTCCCTCACAGACCTGACAACTGATCTACCAGCACAAACTGGTTAATTATTGACCAGGAATGGAAGTGGTGTTGAGAGAGAACTATTGGTTCAGGGTTTGAAAGAATCATTCTTTAAACAATTCCAACTGTCTTTGTATAATAGAACATGATCTCCTTCAGTGTCCCTCCCCAGGCTACCCATTTCAAAAGCTAAGCTACTTAGGCTAGGTATAGATGTTCAGGCTGGTTAGATCATGTTTCAAATGACCACTCAATCTAACTTAGTTCACTCACATGCAGACCTTACACTTAGATCCCTGGGCTAGGTACAGACATTCAAAAAGCCTAAGGTGGAATCAATCTAAGGTACGTGGTTTTCTGTAAGAGGCATAATTCAGATTGGTAGTAAACAGAACACACATTTGACCGGGTGGGGGGGTTAAGGAGGGTAGGTCTTAGACTGGGTTCTCTCATTTTTTAATCAGTCTGTGTGTGTCAAACTTCTGTTCTGCTATGGGTATAGACTGGTTTGTGCGCTGAATTTCTGTTCCGTTACACGTATACACCAGTTTCCTATTACTTATACTGGTAAAAATGTTATGTCTGTACCTGGCCCTAGTTAGGCCAATCTAAGTGCAAACTCTACAGAAGTTCAGGAAGGCTAGATATGTCAAAAAGTGGCCAACCAGATCTAAGTTAACCCTACCACAGAGGTAGTCTAACTGACATTGGATCTGGTGAGATGGATCTAAATGAACATCTGTACAAGTCCCAGGGCAGCCTAAGGTCTAGGAAAGCCCAGCCACTGGCTCCAGCCCTGGGGATGTGCTTTTCCTACTGCCTTGGTACAGGGCTGTTTTTTTATCCCCCTGGCCCTTTGTCCTATGTCTAGCTGGACAACCCCAACCCCCATGGACCAGGCAGCCTGCATTCCCCAAGTCCACAAAACCTTCTATTCTGGAAGCTGTCCCAAGTGCTGTTTTTTACTGATGCTCGCTAGTGCTGGGCTCTTAGAAAGAAAGTTCAGAAGGGGGAGGGGCAGGCAGGATTGGGGGATTTGTTCAACTAGGGGTAGGAGGTGTTGGGGGGCTAAAAATAACTACCAGTCCATGGGGAGACACAGTTCCTCCTCATCCCACCAACCCCCTCCCCACACTCATGGAGCCATCAGCCCTCCTGATCCACCTGCCTGTCCCCCTATCCCAGTATATTCCTGTCAGGCTCCTGGGACTCATGAATACTGGTGAAACCAGACTCAGGACTGATATACAGCACTGGGAGCAGTTTGGTGGCATCAGGAAGGGATTTGGGTGGGTCTTGGG